CAGGGTGTTTTGTTTTAAAAGGTCATACAGTATGGAGGGGACAGTAGGTCTATACAGCGTGGAGAGGGCAGTTATATCTACACAGCATGGAGAGAGACAGTAGGTCTACCAGTATGAGGGGGAGGAAAGGTCTACACAGTATGGAGGGGACAGGTAGGTCTATACAGTATGGAGAGGGACAGTATTCTACACAGCAGGAGAGGAACAGGAGGTCTATACAGTATGGAGAAGGGACCGTTAGATCTATACAGTTATGGAGAGGGACAGTAGCGGTCTATACAGAGTGGAGAGGGACAGTATATCTACACGCATGGAGAGAGAAGAGGACAGTAGCGTCTATACAGTATGGAGAGGAACAGGAGGTCTACACAGTATGAGATGGACAGTATAGGTCTACAAGTATGGGAGGGACAGTAGTCTATACAGTATGGAGAGGGGGACAGTAGGTCATACAGTATGGAGAGGGACAGTAGAGTCTATACAGTATGGAGAGAGACAGTAGGTCTACACAGTATGATGAGGGACAGGTTCTACACAGTCTGGAGAGGGACAGTAGGTTCCCTATACAGTATGGAGAGGGACAAGTAGGTCTACACAGCGGGAGAGGGATAGTAATCTACACGCTGGAGAGGGACAGAGGTCATTACAGCGTGGAGAGGGAAAGTAGGTTATACAGCGTGGAGAGGGACAGTAGGTCTATTACAGCGTGGAGAGGGACAGGGGTCTAAACAGTATGGATGAGGGACGTAGTCTATACAGGTGGAGAGGGACAGTTATATCTACACAGCATGGAGAGGACAGTAGAGTCTACACAGTATGGAGAGGGACCAGTTACACAGTATGGAGAGGAGGACCGTAGGTCTATACCAGTATGGAGAGGAAACAGTAGTAGGTCTATAGGATGGAACGAGGGACCGTAGATATATACAGTATGGAGAGGGACAGTAGGTCTATACAGCGTGGAGAGGGACAGTATATCTACACAGCATGGAGAGGGGACAGTAGCCGTAGGTCTACAGTATGGAGAGGGACAGTAGGTCTACACAGCGTGGAGAGGGAGTATATTACACAGAGCATGGAGAGAGACAGTAGGTCTACACAGTATGGAGAGGGGACAGGTTCTTACACAGTATGGAGAGGGCCAGTAGGTCTATTACAGTGTGGAGGGGACAGTAGGTTATACAGTATGGAGAGGGACAGTAGATATATTACAGTATGGAGAGGGACAGTAGGTCTATACAGCGTGGAGCCCCGGACAGTAGGTCTACAAGTATGGAGAGGGACAGTTAGGACTAGATACAGTTATGGAGAGGGGACAGTAGGTCTATACAGTATGGAGAGGGACAGAGTAGTCTATACAGTATGGAGAGAAGAGGACTAGTAGGTATACACAGTATGAGAGGACAGGCTAAACAGTATGGCGCGGGACGGGTCTACACAGTATGTGAGACGGACAGATAGGTCTATTACAGTATGGAGAGGGAAGTAGGTCTATTACAGCATGGGGAGGGTACAGTAGGTCTATACGCATGGAGAGGGAAGAGGGAATAGCTATACAGCAGTGGAGAGGGGACAGTAGGTCTATACAGTATGGCGAAGGGACAATAGGTCTATACAAGCGTGGGAGAGGCGACAGTAGGTTATACAGCATGGAGAGAGACAGTAGTCTATACAGACGTGGAGAGGGCCAGTAGGTTCTATTACCGTGGTGTGGAGAAGGGACAGTAGGATATATACAGTGTGGAGAGGACAGTAGGTTATTACACAGCGTGGAGAGGACAGTAGGGTCTATACAGTGGGGAGAGGGACAGTAGGTCTATACGCGTGGAGAGGGACAGTAGGTCTATTACAGCGTTGGAGAGGGAAAGTAGGTCTACAGCATGGAGAGGAAAAGTAGGTCGATACAGCGGGAGTGGAGAGGGGACAGTGTAGGTCTATTAAAGTATGGAGAGGGACAGGAGGTCTCTACAGCATGGAGGAGGACAGTACGGTCTATACAGCGTAGAGATGGACAGTAGTCTATACAGCGTAGAGAGGACCACAGAGGTCTATACAGGGTGGAGGAGGCCACAGTAGGTCTATTACAGTGTGGAGAGGGACAGTAGTCTATACAGCGGGAGAGGGTCAGTAGGTCTATACAGCGTGGAGGAGGGACAGTAGGTCTATACAGCATGGAGAGGACACCAGTTAGTCTATACGTATGGAGAGGACAGTAGTCTCTATACAGCGGGAGAGGGACAGTATATTAACACGCAGGAGAGAGAGGAAGAGGCTACACAGTATGAAGAGGGACAGGTCTACACGTATGGAGAGGGACAGTAGGTCTATACAGTGTGGAGAGGCGAAGTAGGTCTATACAGTATGGAGGAGGGACAGTAGATCTATACAGTATGGAGAGGGACAGTAGGTCTCTACAGGCGTGGAGAGGGACAGTGATATCTACACAGCATGAGAGGGACAGTAGGTCTATACAGTAGGAGAGGGACCGTAGGTCTATACAGCGTGGAGTAGGGACGGATATCTACACGATGGAGAGAGACAGTAGTCTCACAGTATGGCGGGGGAAAAGGGTCTAACAGTATGGAGAGGGACAGTGGTCTATCCAGTCGGAGAGGGACAGTAATCTACACAGAGGAGCGGAACAGCTAGGTCTATTACAGCGTGGCGAGGGTCTGTAGGTCTAACAGCGTGGAGAGGGACAGTAGAGTTAGGTATATACAGCGGGAGAGGGACAGTAGGTCTAACAGCGTGGAGAGGGACATGGGGTCTTATACAGTATGGAGAGGAGACCAGTATAGGTCTATACAGTATGGAGAGGGACAGTCGGTCTAGACAGCGTGGAAAGTGGAGAGGGACAGTAGGTCTATAAAGCGTTGGAGAGGGGACAGTAGGTTATACAGTGTGGGGAAGAGGGGCAGTAGGTATATACAGCGTTGGAGAGGGACAGTAGGTCTTATACGCATGGAGGAGGAGACAGTAGGTCTATTACAGCGTGGAGGGGACAGTAGGTCTATGACAGCGTGGAGGGAGAGGGACAGTGGTATATACAGCCGTGGAGAGAGGGACAGTAGGTAATGACAGCGTGGAGAGGACAGTAGGTCTATACAGATGTGGAGAAGGGAAGGGTCTATACGTGTGGCGAGGGAAAGTAGGTTCTATACAGCATGGAGGGGAAAGAGGTCTATACAGCATTGGAGAGGGACAGTAGGTCTATAAAGTATGGAGAGGGACCAAGTAGGTTCTATTACAGCATGGAGGAGGGACAGTGGTCCTATACAGCGTAGAGATGGACAGTAGGTCTATACAGCGTCGTAGAGAGAGGACACAGTAGGTCTATACAGTGTGGAGAGGCACAGTAGGAACTATACAGTGGGAGAGGGACAGTAGGTCTAACAGCGTGGAGAGGGACAGTAGGTTCTATACAGCGGGGAGGTGAGAGGGACAGTAGGTCAAACAGTGTGGAGAGGGACAGTAGGGTTAGACAGTTTGGAGAGGGACAGTAGAGTCTATACAGCGTGGGAGGAGGGACAGTAGGTTCTATACAGCGTGAGAGGGAAAGTAGTCTATATAGCATGGGAGAGGACAGAGGTATATACAGTATGGAGAGAGAAGGGACAGTAGGTCTACACAGCATGGGAGGGACAGTAGTCTACACTATGGAGAGGACAGTAGGTCTACCACAGTATGGAGAGGGACCAGTAGGTCTATACAGTATGGAGAGGGACAGTAGGTTTATACAGTGTGGAGAGGGACAGAGATCTTACACAGCATGGAGCGAGAAGTAGGTTACACAGTATGGAGAGGGAACAGGTCTACACAGTATGGAGAGGGGAAAGTAGGTCTATACAGTATGGAGAGGGCCAGGAGGTCTATACAGTTATGGAGAGGGACAGTAGGTCTATACAGGACGTGGAGAGGGACAGTATAATCTACACAGCATGGAGAGAGACAGAGGTTATACAGTATGGAAGAGGACAGTAGGTCTACACAGTATGGAGAGGGACAGTAGGTTATACAGTATGGAGCGGACAGTAGGTCTATACAGTATGGAGAGGGGGGACAGTCTACACAGTATGGAGAGAGGACAGTAGGTATACACAGTATGGAAGAGGACAGGTCTACCCAGCTGGAGAGGACAGTAGTAGGTTCTCTACACAGTATGGAGAGAGAGAGACAGTAGTCTAACAGTATGGAGAGAGACAGTAGGTCTATACAGCGTGGAGAGGGACCGTATATCTACACAGGCATGGAGAGAGGACAGTAGGGTCTACCACAGTATGGAGAGGGAAGGTCTACAACAGTATGGAGAGGGACAGTAGAGTCTATACAGTATGGAGGGGACAGTAGGTCTATACAGTATGGAGAGGGACAGAGATCTATACAGTATGGAGAGGGACCGAGGTCTATACAAGCGTGGGAGAGGGACATATAATACACAGCATGGAGAGAGACAAGGTCATAACAGTAGGAGAAAGACAGTAGGTCTAACAGTATGGAGAGGGGGCCAGTCGGTCTATACAGTAGAGAGGGACAGTTAGGTCTATACGAACTATGGAGAGGGACAGTTAGGTCTATTACAGTAGGAGAGAGACAAGAGAGACAGTAGGTCTCCACAGTATGGAGGGACAGGTCGAACAGTATATGAGAGCGGGACAGGTCTTATCGACACAGGTATGGGAGAGGACAGTAGTATGGTCTATACAGTAATGGAGAGGGACAGTAGTCTATACAGTATGGAGAGGGACCAGTAGGTTACACAGCGTGGAGGGAGGGGGAGGGATAGGATATCTACACAGCATGGAGGGGGGACAGTATAGGTCTATACAGCAATGGAGAGGGGACAGAAGGTCATTACAGCGTGGAGAGGGACAGTAGGTTCTATAACAGGTGTAGAGGGACAGTGTGTCTATACAGTATGGAGAGAGGACAGTCTGGTTCTATACGTATGGAGAGACAGTAGGTCTATACAGCGTGGAGACGGGACAGTATATCTACACAGCATGGGAGAGGACCGTAAGGTCTACACCGTTATGGAGAGGGCAAAGGTCTACAAAGTATGGAGAGGGAAAGTAGGTCTATACCAGTATGGAGAGCGAAACAGTAGGTCTATACAGTATGAGAGGGACAGTAGATTATACCAGTATGGAGAGAGACAGTAAGTAGGGGTGCTATACAGCGTGGAGAGGGGGACAGATATTACCCCCGCAGGAGAGAGGGACAGTAGGTCATACAGTATGGAGAAGGGACCGTAGGTCTATACAGCTGGATGAGAGCCAGTATATCTACACAGCATGGGGAGACAGTAGTCTACACAGTATGGAGAGAGGACAGTAGGTCTACACAGTCTGAGAGGGACAGGTCTACCACAGTAGGGAGAGGGACAGAGGTCTATACAGTAGGAGAGGCGACAGTAGGTCTACACAGCGTGGAGAGGGATAGTATATCACACAGCATGGAGAGGGACAGTATAGTCTATACAAGCGTGGGGGGACAGTAGGTTATACAGCGTGTGTGGAGAGGGACAGTAGGTCTATAAAGCGGTGTAGGGCGACAGTGGGTCTACACAGTATGGAGAGGGACAGTAGGTCTATACAGAGTGGAGTGGAGAGGGAACAGTATAATCTACACAGCATGAGAGAGACAGTAGTCACAAGTATGGAGAGGGACAGGTTACACAGTATGGAAGAGGCGACGTAGGTCTATACAGTTGAGAGGAACAGTAGTCTATACAGTAGGGAGTAGGGACAGTGATCTATTACAGTAGGAGAGGGACAGTAGCGTTAGTACCAGCGTGGAGAGGGCACAGTATATCTACACAGCTGGAGAGGGACAGTAGGTCTATACAGTATGGAGAGGGAAGTAGGTTCTCTATACAGCGTTGTAGAGGGACCGTGGGTCTATACAGTATGGAAGGAGGGACAGTCGGTCTATACAGTATGAGAGGGACAGTAGGTCTAACAGCGTGGAGCGGGAAGAGGACAGTATATCTACACAGCATGGAGAGAGACAGTAGAGTAGGTGCTACACAGTATGGAGAGGGACAGAAGGTCTATCAGCGTTGGAGAGGGACAGTAGGTCTTATACGCGTTGAGAGGGACGTGGGTCTATCAGTATGGAGAGGGACAGTCGGGGTCTATACAGTATGGAGAGGGACATAGGTCTATAACAGCGTTGAGAGGAAACAGGTCTATCTACACAGCATGGGGAGGAGACAGGCTGGTTTTCTATACGTATGGAGAGGGACAGAAGGTCTATACAGCGTGGAGAGGGACAGTAGGTCTATACAGCGTGTAGAGGGACAGTGGAGTCTTATACAGTATGGGAGCGGGACAGTCGGTCTCTTCTACAGTATGGAGAGGGACAGAAGAGTCTATACAGCGTGGAGGTGGAGAGGAGAGGACAGTTATATCTTACACAGCATGGGAGAGAGACAGTAGGTTACACAGTATGGGAGGACAGGTCGACACAGTTATGGAGAGGGGAAGTAGGTCTATACAGTATGGAGAGGAACAGTAGGTCTATACAGTATGGAGAGGGACAATAGGTCTATACAGCGTGGAGAGGGACAGTAGGTCTATACAGCATGGAGAGAGACAGTAGGTCTATACAGCGTGGAGAGGGACAGTAGGTCTATACAGTGTGGAGAGGGACAGTAGGTATTAGACAGTGTGCGAGGGAGAGGAAGTAGGTCTCTACAGCCGTGGAGGAGGGACATAGGTCTATACTTGGGGAGAGGGACAGTAGGTCTATACAGCGTGGAGAGGGACAGTAGGTCTATACAGCGTGGAGAGGGAAAGTAGGTCTATACAGCATGGAGAGGAAAAGTAGGTCTATACAGCATGGAGAGGGACAGTAGGTCTATAAAGTATGGAGAGGGACAGTAGGTATATACAGCATGGAGAGGGACAGTAGTAGGTATATACAGCGTAGAGTAGAGTGGACCAGTAGGTCTATACAGCGTTTTAGAGAGGCACAGTAGGTCTATTACCCAGGGTGGGAGGGGAGAGCACAGTAGGTCTATACAGTGTGGAGAGGGACAGTAGGTATATACAGCGTGGAGAGGGTCAGTAGGTCTATACAGCGTGGAGAGGGACAGTAGGTCTATACAGCATGGAGAGGGACAGTAGGTCTATACAGTATGGAGAGGGACAGTAGGTCTACAGCGGGAGAGGGACAGTATACTAACAGCATGGAGAGAGAACAGTAGGTCTACAAAGTTATGGCAGAGGGACAGGTCTCACCACAGTCTGGAGAGGGACAGTAGGGGTCTAACAGTGTGGAGAGGGAACAGTAGGTCATACAGTTGGAGAGGAGTACAGTAGATCTATACGATATGGAGAGGGAGCGACACAAGTAGGTCTATACAGCGTGGAGGGGGGAAGGGGACAGTATAATCTACCAGAATGAAGAGGGACAGTAGGTCTATAACAGTATGGAGAGGGACAGTAGGTCTATACAGCGTTGGAGAGGAGAAAGTATATCTACACAAGCATGGAGAGGAGACAGTAGGTCTACACAGTAAGTATGGAGGGGGGAAGGTAAATACACAGTATGGAGAGGCGACAGTAGGTCTATTACATTATGGAGAGGGACAGTATATTTCTACACAGCATGGAGAGGACACAGATAGGCTATACAGCGTGGAGAGGGACTGTAGGTCTTATACAGCGGGAGAGGGACCCAGTAGGTCTATACAGCGGTGGAGAGGAAAGTAGGGTATATTACAGCGTGGAGAGGGACAGTGGGGTCTAACAGTAATGGAGAGGGACAGAGGTCTATACAGTAGGGAGAGGGGAAGTAGGTCTATACAGCGTGCTGGAGAGGGACATAGGTCCTATACAGCGTGGAGAGGCGACAGTAGTCTATACAGTGTGGAGAGGGGACAGTAGGTATATACAGCAGGTTGGAGAGGGGACAGGAGGTTCTATACAGCCATGAAGAGAGGACAGTAGGTTCTATAACAGCGTGGAAGAGGGACACGTAGGTTATACAGCGTGGAGAGGCGACAGTAGGTATATACAGAGTGGAGACGGGCAGTAGGGTCTATACAAGGTGGAGAGGATGTGGAGAGGGACAGTAGGGCTATACAGTGGGCGAGGGACCAGTAAGGTCTCTATACAGTGTGAGAGGGAAAGTAGGTCTATACAGCATGGAGAGGGAAAGTAGGTCTATACAGCATGGAGAGGGACAGTAGGTCTATAAAGTATGGAGAGGGACAGTAGGTCTATACAGCATGGAGAGGGACAGTAGGTCTATACAGCGTAGAGATGGACAGTAGTAGTCTTAACAGCGTAGAGAGGCACCAGGAGGTCTATTACAGGTGGAAGAGGCACAGTAGGACTATACAGTGTGGAGGAGAGGGACGTAGGTCCTATACAGCGTGGAGAGAGGGACAGAGTCTATACAGCTGTGGAGAGGAGACGGACAGGACGGTCTCTAAAACAGTGTGGAGAGGGAAGTAGGTCTATACAGTTTGGAGAGGGACAGTAGGTCTAGTACAGCGGGGAGAGGGACAGTAGCAGTAGGTCTATACAGAGTGTGGAGGGGAAAGTAGGTCTATTTATAGCATGGAAGAGGCAGAGGTATATACAGTATGGAGAGGGACAGTAGGTCTACACAGCAGGAGAGTGACAGTAGGTCACACAGTATGGAGAGGGACCAGAGGTCTACACAGTATGGAGAGGACAGTAGGTCTAACAGTTTGGAGAGGGGACAGTAGTCTAGACAGTGTGGGAGGGACAGTTAATTACACCGCATGGAGAGAGACAGTAGTCTACACAGTATGGAGAGGGACAGGTCTACCACAGTATGGAGAGGGACAGTAGGTCTATACAGTATGGCGAGGACAGTAGGTCTTACAGTATGGAGAGGACAGTAGGTCTATACAGCGTGAGAGGGACAGTATTCTACACAGCATGGAGAGAGACAGTAGGTCTTATACAGAAGTAGGAGAAGGAAAGTAGGTCTACACAGTATGTGAGAGGAACAGTATAGGTTTATACAGAAGGGAGAGGCAGTAGTAGGTCTATACAGTATGGAGAGGGAAGGTCTCTACACAGATGGAGAGAGGACAGTAGGTCTACACAGTATGGAGAGGGACAGGTCTAACACAGTATGGAGAGGGACAGTAGGTCTACACAGTATGGAGAGAGACAGGTAGAAGGGTCTACACAGTATGGAGAGAACAGTAGGTCTATTACGCCGTTGGAGAGGCGAACAGTATATTACACAGCAGGGAGAGATGACAGTAGGTCTACACAGTATGTATGGAGAGGGGACAGGTCACACAGTATGGAGAGGGACAGTAGGTCTATACAGTAGGAGAGGACAGATGGTCGATCACAGTATGGAGAGGGGGACAGTAGAATTATACAGTATGGAGAGGGACAGTAGGTCTATACAAGCGGTGGAGAGGGACAGTATATCTACACAGCATGGAGAGGACAGTTAGTCTATACAGTATGAGAAGGACAGTAGAGTCTTACACAGTATGGAAGGGGGACGTAGTCTATACAGTATGGAGAGGGACACAGTACGCGTCTATACAGTATGGAGAGGGACAGTAGGTCTATACAGTATGGAGGAGAGACAGGAGGTCTTACACAGTATGAGAGGGACAGTCTACACAGTATGGAGAGGGACAGGTTCTACACAGTATGGAGAGGGAAGTAGGTCCATACATATGGAGAGGGACAGTAGGTCTATACAGTAGGAGAGGGACAGTAGGTCTACACAGCGTGGAGAGGGATAGTATAATCTACACGCATGGAAGGGGGGGGACAGAGTAGCGTCTTATACAGCGTGGAGAGGGAACAGAAGGTAATATAACCAGCGTGGAGAGGGAACAGTAGGTCATACAGCGTGGAGGGGACAGTGGGTCTATACAGTATGGAGAGGGAACAGTCGTCTAACAGTATGGAGAGGGCCAGTCGGTCGATAAGCGGTGGAGAGGGACAGTATATCTACACAGAATGGAGAGAGAGAGAGAACGTAGGTCTACACAGTATGGAGAGGCGACAGGTCTACACAGTATGGAGAGGGACAGTAGGTCTATCAGTATGGAGAGGAACAGTAGGTCGATACCAGTAGGAGGAGGAGGACAGTGATCTATTATACAGTAGGAGGAGAGACAGTAGTTCTAACAGCGGGAGAGGGACGATATTCTACACCAGCATGGAGAGGGGACAGTAGGTCTATACAGTATGGAGAGGGACAGTAGGTTCTATTACAGCGTGGAACGAGAGCCAGTATATCTACACAGCAGGGAAGCGGAGAGACAGTAGTAGGTCTACACAGTATGGAGAGAGGACAGTAGGTCTACACGTATGAGAGGACAGGTCTACACAGTAGGGAGAGGGACCAGTTTTGTGGAAGCAAGGTTCACCCAGCCACAGGTTTATTTTGATGGGCTATACAGTATGGAGAGGGACAGTAGGTCTAAACCGAGTGGAGAGGGATAGTATATCTACACAGCATGGAGAGGGAACAGTAGGGTCTATACAGCGTGGAGGGGGACAGTAGGTCTATACAGCGGGGAGAGGGACAGTAGGTCCTATACAGCGTGTAGAGGGACAGTGGGGGTCTACACAGTATGGAGAGGGGACAGTAGGTCTATTACAGCGTTGGGAGAGGGGACAGTTATCTACACAGCATGGAGAGAAGAGAGACGTAGGTCTACACAGTATGGAGAGGGACCAGGTCTACACAGGATGGAGAGGGGACAGTAGGTCATACAGTAGGAGAGGAAACAGTTAGGGTCTATACAGTATGGAGAGGGACAGTAGATCTATTCAGTATGGAGAGGGGGGACAGTAGGTCTATACAGCGTGGAGAGGGAAGTATATCTACCACAGCATGGAGGAGGGACAGTAGGTCTATACAGTTGGAGAGGGAACAGTAGGTCTATACAGCGTGGAGGGGAACAGTATATCTACACAAGCATGGAGAGAGGACAGTAGAGTCTAGTAGGTTCCGACACAGTAGGAGAGGGACAGGTCTACCAACAGTATGGTGAGGGACAGTGGTCTATACAGTGTGGAGGGACAGAGTAGGTCTATACAGTATGGAGAGGGGACCAGTAGATCTATACAGTATGGAGGGGGACGTAGGGTCTATAAAGCGGGAGAGGAGAAGGACAGTAGTCTACACAGTATGGAGAGGGACAGTGAGGATTAGGACCTATACAGTATGGAGAGGGACAGTAGGTTCTACAGTAGGAGGAGGGACAGTAGGTCTATACAGTGGGAGAGAGACAGAGGTCGACACAGTATGGAGAGGGAAGGGTCTACACAGTATGGAGAGGGACAGGTCTACACAGTATGGAGAAGGACAGTAGGTCTATACAGTATGGAGAGGGACAGTAGGTCTATACAGCATGGGGAGGGACAGTAGGTCTATACAGCATGGAGAGGGACATAGGTCTATACAGCGTGGAGAGGGACAGTAGGTCTATACAGTATGGAGAGGGACAATAGGTCTATACAGCGTGGAGAGGGACAGTAGTCTATAAAGCATGGGAAGAGGAGACAGTAGGTCTATACAGCGTGGAGAGGGACAGTAGGTCTATACAGTGTGGAGAGGGACAGTAGGTATATACAGTGTGGAGAGGGACAGTAGGTCTATACAGCGTGGAGAGGGACAGTAGGTCTATACAGGTTGGAGAGGGACAGTAGGTCTATACAGCGTGGAGAGGGAAAAGTCGGTCTATACAGCATTGGAGAGGAAAAGTAGGTCTTTAGTACAGCATGCGAGAGGGACAGTAGTCTATAAAGTATGGGAGAGGGGACAGTAGGTCTATAAAGCATGGAGAGGGACAGTAGGTCTATACAGCGTAGAGATGGACAGTCGGTATATAACGTAGAGAGGCAACAGTAGGTTATACAGTGTGGAGAGTACAGTAGGTCTATACAGTGTGGAGAGGGACAGGTAGGTCTATACAGCGTGGAGAGGGTCAGTAGGTCTATACAGCGTGGAGAGAAGGGACAGTAGGGTCCTATACAGCTGGAGAGGGACAGCGTAGGTCTATACAGTATGGAGAGGGACAGTAGGGCAATACAGCGTGGAGAGGGACAGTATAGTCTACACAGCATGGAGAGCGAGAGACAGTAGGTCTACACGTAGGAGAGGGACAGGTCTACACAGTATGGAGAGGGAAGTAGGTCCTATACAGTGTGGGAGAGGGACAGTAGGTCTATACCGATATGGAGGGACAGTAGATCGATACAGTAGGAGAGGGACAGTAGGTCTATACAGCGTTGGGAGAGGGACAGTATATAGAACAGCATGAAGAGGGACAGTAGTAAGTCTATACAGTATGGAGAGGGACAGTGTATATACAGGGGAGAGGGACAGTATATCTACACAGCATGGAGAGAGACAGTAAGGTCTACACAGTATGAGGGGGAAAGGTCTACACAGTATGGAGCGGGACAGTAGTCTATACAGCATGGAGAGAGGGACAGTAGGTCTATGCTATACAGCGTGGAGAGGGAAGAGGTCTATAAAGCGTGGAGAGGGACCAGTAGGTATATACAGCGTGGGAGAGGGACAGTGGTCTATTTTTACAGCGTGGGAGAGTGACAGTAGTTGGTCTATCAAGTGTGGAGAGGGACAGTAGGTCTTTACAGTGTGGAGGAGAGGGAAAAGTAGGTCTAGACAGCATGGAGAGGGAAAAGTAGTTATACAGCATGGAGAGAGGACAGTAGGTCTATAAAGTATGGAGGGGACAGAGTCACACAGAATGGAGAGGGACAGTAGGTCTATAGAGCGTGAGATGAGGACAGTAGTTATATACAGCGTTAGAGAGGCAAAGTAAGTGTCTACTTACAGTGTGGAGGAGGACAGTAGGACTATACAGTGTGGAGAGGGAAAGTAGGTCTTTACAGCGTGGAGAGGGACAGTAGCAGTATGGTATATACAGCGTGGAGAGGGACAGTTAGGTCTAAACAGTGGTGGAGAGGGGACAGTAGGTCTATACAGTTTGGAGAGGGACGTAGGTCTATACAGCGTGGGAAGAGGGGACAGAGAGTCTATACAGCGTTGGAGATGGTGGAGAGGGAAAGTAGGGCTATATAGCATGGAAGAGAGGGACAGTAGGTATATACAGTATGGAGAGGGACAGTAGGTCTACACAGCATGGAGAGGGACAGGAGGTTCCCAGTAAGGAGAGGACAGTAGATTCAACATAGTATGGAGAGGGACAGGTCAACAGTATGGAGAGGGACAGTAGGCTACCACAGCATGGAGAGGGGACAGTAGGTTTTATACCGCATGAGAGGGGGACAGTAGTAGGTCTATACAGTATGGAGAGGGACCAGTATTTGGGTCGATACAGTATGGAGAGGGACAGGTAGTCTACACCAGCATGGAGAGGGACAGTAGGTCTACACAGTATGGGAGGAGGGACAGTAGATCAAACATAGTATGGAGAGGGACATAGGTCATACCGCATGGAGAGGGAAGTAGGTCTATTAAGTATGGAGAGGGACAGTAGGGTCTATACAGTAATGGAGAGGGACAGCAGGTCTAACAGTATGGAGAGGACAGTAGGTTCTATACAGTAGGGAGAGGGACAGTAGGTATATATTTACCAGTGTGGAGAGGGACAGTATATCTACACAGCATGGAGAGAGACAGTAGGTCTCACAGTATGGAGAGGGGACAGGTCTACCACAGTATGGAGAGGGACAGTAGGTATATACAGTATGGAGAGGGACAGTAGGTCTATTACAGTATTAGGAGAGGGACAGTAGGTCTTATACAGCGTGGAGAGGGAACAGTATATCTACACAGAATGGAGAGAAGAGACAGTAGGTCTATACATTATGGAGACGGACAGTAGGTTACACAGTAGGGAGAGGCGAAGTAGGTTTTATACAGTATGGAGAGGGACAGTAGGCTATACAGTATGGAGAGGGGACAGGTCTACAAGTATGGAGAGAGACAGTAGGGTCTAGTACAGGCGTTGGAGAGGGACATATATCTACACAGCATGGAAGAGACAGTAGGTCTTACACAGTATGGAAGAGGACAGTTCTAACACGTATGGAGGAGGGACAGTAGGTCTATACAGTATGGAGAGGGACAGTAGTCTATACAGTATGGGAGAGGGACAGTAGATCTATACAGATGGAGAGAGGGACAGTGGTCTAGTACAAGCGTGGAGAGGGACAGTATATTCCACAGCATGGAGCGAGAAGTGGTGATACAGTATGGAGAAGGACAGTAGGGTCTAACAGGATGGAGAGGGACAGTAGGTCTATAAGTATGGAAGAGGGACCGAGTCTATTACAGTATGGAAGAGGGACAGTAGGTCTAACAGTATGGAGAGAGACAGTAGTCTACACGTATGAGAGGGACAGGTCAATACAGTATGGAGAGGAAAGGTCTACACAGTATGGAGAGGGACAGTAGTCTAACAGTATGGAGAGGACAGTAGGTCTCTACAGTATGGAGAGGACAGTAGGTCTACACAGCGTGGGGAGAGGGATAGTATATATACACAGCATGGAGGGGGACAGTAGGTCTATACAGCGTGGAGAGGGACAGAAGGTCTATTACAGCGTTGGAGAGGGACAGTAGGTTATCCCAGCGTGGAGAGGACAGTGGGTCTATACAGTATGGAGAGGGACAGTCGGTCTATACAGTATTTTGTGGAGAGGGACAGTAGGTTCTATACGCGTGGAGGAGGGAGAGGGACAGGGAGAGGGAACAGTATATCTACAACAGCATGAGGAGACAGTAGGTCTACACAGTATGGGAGAGCGGACAGGTCTACACAGTATGGAGAGGGGACAGTAGGTATATATACAGTATGGAAGAGGACGTAGGTATGGCTATACAGTATGCGAGAGGGACAGTAGATCTATACAGTATGGAGAGAGGACAGAGGTCTTATACAGCGGGAGAGGGGACAGAATATCTACACAGAATATGGAGAGGGGACAGTAGGTCTATACAGTATGAGAGGGACAGGAGGGTCTATACAGCGTGTGAGAGAGCCAGTATATCTACACAGCATGGAGAGAGACAGTGAGGTTACACAGTATGGAGAGGGACAGGTCTACACAGTATGGAGAGGGACAGTAGGTCTATACAGTGTGGAGGAGGGGACAGTAGGTCCTATACAGTATGGAGAGGGACAGTAGATCTATACAGTATGGAGAGGGACAGTAGGTCTATACAGCGTGGAGAGGGACAGTATATCTACACAGCATGGAGAGAGACAGTAGGTCTATACAGTATGGAGAAGGACAGTAGGTCTACACAGTATGGAGAGGGACAGTAGGTCTATACAGTATGGAGAGGGACAGTAGGTCTATACAGTATGGAGAGGGACAGTAGGTCTATACAGTATGGAGAGGGACAGTAGGTCTATACAGTGTGGAGAGGAACAGTAGGTCTATACAGTATGGAGAGGGACAGTAGGTCTACACAGCGTGGAGAGGGACAGTATATCTACACAGCATGGAGAGGGACAGTAGGTCTATACAGCGTGGAGAGGGACAGTAGGTCTATACATTGTGGAGAGGGACAGTAGGTCTACACAGTATGGAGAGGGACAGTAGGTCTATACAGCAGGGAGAGGGACAGTAGGTCTATACAGCAGGGAGAGGGACAGTAGGTATATACAGCATGGAGAGGGACAATAGGTCTATACAGCGTGGAGAGGGGGAAGTAGGTCTAACAGCATTGGAGAGGGAAAAGTAGGTCTATACAGTTATGGAGAGGGACAGTAGGTTTCTATAAATCGTGGAGAGAGACAGAGGTCTATACCAGCGGGAGAGAGACAGTAGGGTATACACAGTATGGAGAGGGGGACAGTAGGTCTATACAGCGTGGAGAGGACAGTAGTGGCGAGAGGCGACAGGTAGGTCTACATGTGGGAGGGGACAGTAGTCTACACAGTATGGAGAGGGACAGTAGGTCTATACAGTATGGAGAGGGACAGTAGGTCTATACAGTATGGAGAGGGACAGTAGGTCTACACAGTATGGAGAGGGACAGTAGGTCTATACAGTATGGAGAGGGACAGTAGGTCTATACAGTATGGAGAGGACAGTAGGTCTATACAGTATGGAGAGGGACAGTAGGTCTATACAGTATGGAGAGGGACAGTAGGGTCTATACAGTATGGAGAGGGACAGTAGGTCTATACAGTATGGAGAGGGACAGTAGGTCTATACAGTATGGAGAGGGACAGTAGGTCTATACAGTATGGAGAGGGACAGTAGGTCTATACAGTATGGAGAGGGACAGTAGGTCTATACAGTAGGAGAGGACAGTAGGTCTATACAGTATGGAGAGGGACAGTAGGTTCTATACAGTATGGAGAGGGACAGTAGGTCTATACAGTATGGAGAGGGACAGTAGGTCTATACAGTATGGAGAGAGGACAGTAGGTCTATACAGTATGGAGAGGGACAGTAGGTCTATACAGTATGGAGAGGGACAGTAGGTCTATACAGTATGGAGAGGGACAGTAGGTCTATACAGTATGGAGAGAGACAGTAGGTCTATACAGTATGGAGAGGGACAGTAGGTCTATACAGTATGGAGAGAGACAGTAGGTCTATACAGTATGGAGAGAGTCAGTAGGTCTATACAGCGTGGAGAGGGACAGTAGGTCTATACAGCATGTGTTTCACTCAGTAAATTAATGGAGCAGGCAGTGGGCCGAGTGCTGCAGTCAGATATCTAAGGAGGTCAGTGTGTCTCTGATAACTTCTCCCCTGTGATCTCTCCCTCCCTTTCTCTCCCCCTTCCCCTCACTACCGCTCTCTCTCTTTCTTTCTATATCCCCCTCTCTCTCTCTTCCCCCTCTACCTCTCTCTCTCTCTGCATCTCCAGGCTGTCAGTGACTTCTGTACAGATCCCAACAAGTTTGTGCTCAACTCCACCCACTTCAACTCTGGGACCAGCTCAGGTGCAGTAGTGCATCTCTCCACACTAACAAAGAGTCTCGGCTCATTTCATTCTTATAGCCTTTCATTTTGATGCTGAAATGCCCTGACACACTGTATTCATTGCTGATTGATGGTGTGCTGCTGTCCTCTGTCCTATCCAGACGTTTTGGATTATTACCTGACCTGCAGCAGACGTATGAACAGCCCATTCCAGCAGGTAGTAACTGTTCTCTGTAGATGCTGTGTCTCATGTAGTGGTGGTAGGGGGATCATGATTCCAATAACAAATGGACTCTTCTGAGTGCCCTGAAATTAGTGGGCTGGACCAATGTAAATATATGGGGGTTAGTATTATTTCTGGGCAACTCTATAATTCCAACCCTGGTGGCACTGATATAGGACAGTAAGTAAACTTGTATTATCTGATAGGTACTAATCAGGATGTTTACAGAATATACAGTGTTAGCATGATGATGCTAAGCAATATTTTCAATGACCTGTTGTATGCAGCTGCTGACCCAGTCACAGAGGGCCCTTTCCAGCATCCACACACACCTCTCCAGCCTGGACCGGAACGCTCTCCCACAGGTCCCCAAGGCAGAGGTACGTCACACTGGACCTGGGTGCAACCCATGACACAAAGTGGCTGCCAAATATATCAAAGCACAGTGATATGTTTATGAAACTGAGTGTGATATTATCCTTACCTATTGTCGTTGTAGAAGTCACTCAGGGAGGTTCAGCGGATTCTCAATGCCACAGAGGGCAACTTTCACCAGCTAGTGGCGCTACTCAACTGTCGAGGTCTCAACAAGGTAGGCCTAGTGTTTAACATGGGGTGTAATGATCTCTGGTGTGTTCTTGCTGTTTTCTCAAATCTTTTTGCTCTTTCTGTCTCTGTTTGTTAGGATTATATTGACTCTTTGAAAGGCCTGTGCTATGACGGGATGGAGGGATTGCTCTACCTCTCCCTCTACTCTTTCCTTTCGGCTCTGGCCTTCACTGCCATCCTCTGTTCCCTGCCCGGCGCCTGGAGAAGCTTCCCCAGGTGTGTGTGTCTGTGTGTGTGTGTGTCTGTGTGTCTGTGTGTGTGTGTGTGTGTGTGTCTGTGTGTGTGTGTGTGTGTGTCTGTGTGTCTGTGTGTGTGTCTGTGTGTCTGTGTGTGTGTCTGTGTGTGTGTGTGTCTGTGTGTGTCTGTGTGTGAGAGAGATAGAGAACGAGATATGTTATTGATGTCATAACGTTGTTGTTGATGTTGCTGACGTTTTCTACATCGTAGTTTAACATTTTCTCGGAACATGCTCAGCAGTAAGGTATGATTGTACTATATTGAGGTGCATCTCTAGGTGTGGTTTGACGTACTGGATGAATGTAGTGGTCCTCTGTAGCTCAGCTGGTAGAGCACGGCGCTTGTAACGCCAAGGTAGTGGGTTCGATCCCCGGGACCACCCATACACAAAAATGTATGCACGCACGACTGTAAGTCGCTTTGGATAAAAGCATCTGCTAAATGGCATATTATTATTATTATTATTATTATTATTAATGTGTAGTTCACTACTGTACCTCCAGGTCTGTCAGAGCTTCTGTCTGTCTGTAGTAAACAGCTTCCAGCTGTGTCACAGCCAGAAACATGAAGGGAAAAAAAGATTAAGGGATCAACAAGGGGATTATTTTTTTCTATTTGCGAATATTGATGTAAAATTAACAGGAGGTATGTATTCCAAAGGACATTGCTGAATGCACCATCACAAACCAATTCATTTAACATATTATTATTTTACCAAAAAGTTCACAGATGTTTTGGCTGTCTTCCACAAATGTACAGTGTGTTCCATATCAGTTGCATTGGATGTCACAGGTTCATAGAAAGTGTTACCAAAACACACAATTCTTGTTCTCCTCTCCCCTCTCTCCGACGGGCGACAGTGATTCCGAGGAGTATGAAGATTCGGACAGCGAGAGCGAGGACCCCTTCACTTCCCATCAGGCACGTAGACAGCCGGCCGCGGGGTCTCAGCGAGGGGCCTTGCCCCCCTTCTATAATTACCAGGGGGCCGGGTGGACTCCCCCCTTTTCTAGCGCGCCACCCCTCCCGTGAGTAACACAGACACACAGACACACAGACAGACAGACAGACAGACAGACAGAGTTGCCTCAGAGAGATCCCCCGGGAGTAAGATGAAGTTGCCCCTAGTCACTGATCTAAGGTCAGTTTTTTTACTGTAGTGGTTGAGGATGAAGACTTGGGGAGGGTAAGCTGATCCTAGATCTGTGCCTTGGTACAACTTCAACTCGAAGCTCCCAACTGAAGCCAACAAGATCATGATACTCATATAGGCCCAGTATAGAGTAGTGGAGCATGCATGAACACACAGACAGACCTACTGACTAAGTCTGCTCTGTTAATAGATAGGCACAAAACAGAGACACACACATATTTACTTCACCACACCCTGTAATGTTAGCGTACATGAACACACATGGAAACCGTTTGACATAGGGAATACATTGGATATAGTTCTACCTCACACCCACCCGTACATGTACAGTAATGGAGTCGTTAGAATCACTCTGCCTCCATATAGACACATAAGGATAGCTTCGTCAGGGGAAGGAAACACACGCAACGCAGACAGACACACAGACAGGTCTACTGTGGACTGCAGGGTAGGCAGAGTAACAGACACACAGACAGGTCTACTGTGGACTGCAGGGTAGGCAGAGAAACAGACACACATACAGGTCTACTGTGGACTGCAGGGTAGGCAGAGAAACAGACACACAGACAGGTCTACTGTGGACTGCAGGGTAGGCAGAGAAACAGACACACAGACAGGTCTACTGTGGACTGCAGGGTAAGCAGAGAAACAGACACACAGACAGGTCTACTGTGGACTGCAGGGTAGGCAGAGAAACAGACACACAGACAGGTCTACTGTGGACTGCAGGGTAAGCAGAGAAACAGACACACAGACAGGTCTACTGTGGACTGCAGGGTAGGCAAAGAAACAGACACACAGACAGGTCTACTGTGGACTGCAGGGTAGGCAGAGAAACAGACACACAGACAGGTCTACTGTGGACTGCAGGGTAGGCAGAGAAACAGACACACAGACAGGTCTACTGTGGACTGCAGGGTAGGCAGAGAAACAGACACACAGACAGGTCTACTGTGGACTGCAGGGTAGGCAGAGAAACAGACACAACTCCAGAAGTCTGTCTTTCTGTGTGTCTGTCTATCGGTCTGTCGAGCCTTCCAAGACAGACGTAGACCGGTCCGATCGATCACTCACAGATCTTGGCTGTTTTTCAAATGACACCCTATTCCCCATATAGTGCACTACTTTGGGCCAAGTATCCGAAAGTAGTGCACTATAAGGGGAATAGGGTCATTTGAGACACAGCCCTTAATACTGCGGCGATATGAGGCTCAGGTTGACCTAGGTAAAAACCCCATCACTCCCACCCACCATCCACACTGTGGTGTCCAAGTCTCATGTTATCAAGTCTCTCAATTTACTCTCACCTCTCTCTCTCTTTCTGTCTCTGTCTTTTATTATTTCTTTATCACTCCCTCTCTCTCGCTCTCTCTCTCTGTCTTTATCACTCCCTCTCTCACTGTCTTCCTCTCTCTTTCACTTTCTTTCTATACTTTGCAAGTCCAGTTAATGCCCTAAGAAGTGTACTTTCCTACCTTATGCCTTAGCATGTACAACATAACTAAATGCCAAGTCCAGTTGGTGTATACAGGCGCTGTAAACACTGTGATCATCAGTGTCCCTAGCCTAGATCTAATAGTAACAGTATCATGACCAAACTGCCCAGAGTAAAGTAACTCAGATTCCAGTCACCAAATAAACAATAAGAATGCAGTGGACTCCTGATAAATGCTCTGGTTTGGGGCTGTCTGGAAAGCATGCACTAAAGTGGAGCATGTGGATATCCAGAGCAATTAAAAATGAATGTATTTTGAATTGGGACTGGTGAAGTCTCAAGTTTTAAGTTACAATGCACTTACATGTTGCACACAAATGTGCACTTCATCATTGTACATGAGTTTGCATTTCCCAAAGTGCACTTATCAGGAGTGGACTGTGTCTATAATATCCTTGTCCCCCATGCTGAAACCACCAGCTATCCCGCTGCCTACGTAGACATAGTGCCCTAATAACACTAATGCCACCAGTTATAAGGAGGTCCGTTTCTACATCACCATTTCGCTAATCGCTCTTCCTCCCGTTCTCTCCTTACCCCACCTCGGTTCCCTCCTTTGGCCCACCTACCTCTTTTCGTCTCCCTCTCTCTCACTCATTCTCCACTCCTGCTCCCCTTCCTCCTCTTCTGCCTCCTCCTCCCAATTTTCCTTTTGTTTCCTCTCTCTTTCTGTCTCTATACAGGACTCCAAACGTTTCCTCCAATGGCAACCCTGGCTATGAGAGCCTACCCCTGACTGACAGGCAGTCCCCACCCCCCTCTGTGAGTTCCTTTGTATTCGTGACATCCTAATCTGTGGCATTTGTCATCACTATGCGTGTAAACCGTCCCTCGAGGTGTTATTTGCCTGTACGTTTGTCGTTAGTCGATAATAAACATTCTGGATCTAACTAACTGGTGGTGGTGGTGGTGGTAGCGGTGGTGGTGATGGTGGTGGTAGTGATGGTAGCGGTGGTGATGGTGGTGGTGTGGCTCCAAACTCACAGGACCCTGTAGACCAGGAGTGTAGGCATGGGTGGGCCTGGGTGGCGTAGGCCCATCCACATTTCTGCAGGCCCACCTACCAACTAAATTCTGTCTACGCACCTGCTGTAGGCTGGCATTCTATTTTTTTTATTCAACTAACCTAAAGTATGTGTACTATCTCTTGAATGGGAAAGCTCACTTTCTGCCCCTAACAACTGACTCCGTCGGTTGTCACCTCTCTGACTCTGGACATGCTAGAAAGGATGTAAATACAGTGCTTTCTGACCACAGATCTGAGACCTAACCCTTGACCATTACCCTACCTTTGTCCTTTCTAGCATTACCATCCCAGTCCTAACTTTACAACAGTCCCTGGTGCTTGAGGTAGAAGTAGCCTCCATCCACCTCTGATCTGGGATCAGATTACCTGACACCCATTGTCTTAACCATTTGGAGGTAGACAAAACTGACCCTGGATCAGTGGTTGTGGATAACTTCTACCTCCTCTACCCCTGTTGTTGGGGGCATAACGTGACCACGTGAGTGCTCATCTTCATACGTGAGATGATTTTGAAACAAAGATGAATAATGGAGATTTCTTGTTGTTTTCTTGTCTCCCTTCTCTCTGTACACCCTCCTCTGTGGATCTTCAATGGCGGCTCCCCCTTATCCAATCAAAACGCTGTTTCTGAAAGTACAGTACTCTCCCAGCATGCTGACTGGTTACGGGGGTAGTCAAACACACCCCAACTCTGCCCATTCAAGGAACCTGTATTCACGTTAACTTTTTTTAATGTTTAAAAAAGTATAGAATTTTTTTTGTTTTCTTATGAATGGACACTTTACTGAGATGAAGAAAAAATAACTAATCCCCAAAAACGGAGCTTTATATGTAAATTAAAGGTGCGTAACGTCAGTACCGTGGAGTATTATGATTAAAATCACAAACAAACAAGGTTGAATGGACTGCTGTAGAACCTCAGAGTAAGCTAATGTCAGATAGATACAGTAGGTAGCATGATCATGAAGAGGTCTGAACCAGGTTCACTCGGTCAAAGTCACCCCTTACAATCCCCTGTCTGTCCAGTGTCAACAGTTGCGCGGTGAGCCAGAATGGTATTGACGTTACTACATTGTAGTTCTATATTTTTTAAATGTATCACCACTTTATTTTCACGTTTTTATATCTATATATTGTTGTAGAGAAACACTGACACGTAGAAACAAGACACATTTTGGGGTGAATGAATATGCAGTCCCCTCACTTGGTATTCAACGTGCTATTTTTTAAAATTTACTTTTTATAGGTGAAAATTATGTATCTCCCTTGTATTACCTTCTGATACTATACTGTACATTTCACTGTTGATTTTATCTAAATCAGGGATGGGTAACTCAAGTCCTTGGGGGCTGGAGTGGTGATTTAACTAATTGCATTCTAAACTGAAGATCATGATTAGTCGATTATTGGAGTCAGGTGTGTTAGCTGGGGCTGGGGCAAAAGTGTGACACCAATCAAGTCCCTAAGGACTGGAGTTGCCCATCCCTAATCTAAATAATCATGAAACTTTGCTCTTAAAAATAACATTCAAGAGAGGGCTATAGTACCGCCTCTCTGTAGGTTGAATGGAGAACTACAACTCCCAGCCACGAGACCGTTAGAGAACTACAAATCCCATGCAATGACAGCAGGTACATAGCAATAAAACTCCTGCCACTGGTGCTGTAGTAGCCCTACTGTAAATAGCAATAACTATCTATATAGCAGTGGGTTTCTGAGGTCTCTATAGGATGTTATGTATATAAATATGTTATGTCAGAGATTTAATTGAACCCCGTCCTTGCCTACTGACCTTGTTAACCCTTGAATTGCGTTTGTAAGGTATAATCAATGCTCCTTTTGAATGGCATCCTTTTTCACTCCAGAGTCTAATATAAATAAAATAATAACAATGAATACATTTTGGCCTTACTTGTGTAAATCACTAAACTGTGAATGAACTGTACTGCTGAACCTCTGAAAGAATGTGTATGCACACTGAAAGACAACACGAAACACATTCTTATATATAAATAACACACATTTTCTTAATTTTTTTTTCATATCCTCAGAGTCTGTGTGTTTATAGTTTGAGCGCGTGTAACAGAAAGACAGTGCTCCCATTCACTTGGATATGCATAGTTAGATGGAGACGCAGACAGAACACAAGAACATAGAAGTATTATTTACACACAGTCGGTTGTCAACACGACATCCAGTACCTCCTCGGTGCATAGAATAACTAAAAGACAAACCAGTTCTAACTGGTCTACCTCGACAGTGCAGTGCATAGATGCGTAAGTAGGAAGAGAGAGAAGGAAAGAAGATATAGATGCAGCTGTAGTGTAGCAATCCAAACAACGGCCAGTAAACTGTTACAAACAAGCCATTTGGGACAGAAATCCCTCGTCATCTTAAATTCTCTTTGGAACTTCGTGTGTGTGTGTGTGTGTGTGTCCACACTCCTCAGCGACCAGTAATGCATTTCCTGAAAGATGTCCTTTTTGTTAAGCGTCTCTTGTTTTCCTAAATGTTATTTGTTTTTCCAGAGTAGAGCAGGAGTTTGAGTCCCATGCTGAATGAATGAATGAATGAATGAATGCCCAGGCCAGAGGAATCACTTCCTGAGGTCATCAGAGTTCAGCCAGGTTCCGTACTCCTCCACATCCCTCCTCACAACCAGGAGCATCTCTGCCACGTCCGGAGACAGCTGTTCACTGAGAAATGTACTGAGAGAGAGAAGAGCAGTGGGGTGAGGGAGAGAGAGAGTGGGGTGAGGGAGAGAGAGAGGGGGGTGAGGGAGAGAGAGAGAGACTGGTTTACAAGAGTGCAAAGTACAAACTGTGACAAAGACACTGTGGTAAGACCCATGTGACCACTCATCCAACAGGATGAGATCCAATGAGACCGAGCTCTAACAGACTAGTAGTCTACCACAGTCAAATTCTGTGGGCTGCGTTCCTGACAGGATTACTCTATGTAAAAAATTTACAGAGGGACATTTCTGTTTGTAAACAACATGCATGACAAGTTGAGCATTTGCATATTTTTGCATTTATCACTATCGGCTGTAAAGTTGGAGATACTGTGTCTTTGATTAGGAGTTATTCAATACATGTCTGCATTTGTGCATAGTCCCCTCCCTCCCTCCCTCACCGGAGATCTGCTTCGTTCCCAATGCAGACAGGACTCTTTAGTTTGGAGTCGAGGTTGTAGTAGTGTCCATTAACCTGGCGCACTGCAAGCCAGTGCCGCCGCCTGACGGGGAGGGACACAATTCCGAGAGAGACACGTGACGGAACGTTCAGGATGAACCCCTGGACCTTGTCAACACAGAGACTCTGTACTGATCTGAGGGAGGAAGGGAGAAATAGAAAAAGAGAAGGAGATTTTGGTTTAAAATCAACAGAGCCACAGTGGTGGAGAAGGGGGGGCACAGGAACAGTGATAAAACTAGGGCAAGATCTGTGGCGAAGTTTCCTTATCAGTATATTTTCTTTGGTCAATAAAACTGTAGCTCTTCGTGACCTGTAGCAGTACTTGGTTTGATTTGAATTCATTCTACAGGTGTATTTCATTGCCAATCATTTATTCTCCTACCAAATCTGTCTGGCCCTGGTGCTGAGGTATTGAAGTGTCTGACCTGCGTTTGTCCCACCATACTGCAGCCAACCCTCTGCTCTGTAGGGCAGCCATGATGACGTTGACGTCATAGTTCCCTGTGCCCAGCATCGAGCGGTGAGGGTTCACCACACATTGTGGAGCTAGCCTGGGGAGGAAGGGGTAAGAGGGGAACACGTGGTAAAAACAGATTCACATACTCTTGGAACTCATGGAGAATGTGTGGTGAGGTGCTCTTTGGATCACAGGCTTATATCAGTACTTGATGATTTACATGCAGAGATTGCATATTGAAGAGACTGTGTTGTTATCATTGACACAAAGAACCCTGTTTAGCCAAAGCAACCGCCCCCTACAGATGACATTACACACACATCGCCTGACCCAAGTGACCTCACCGCTTGCAGATGTCATCTGCCGCCTCCTTTGTGAACACTTGCTCCTGCAGCACGTTGTTCAGAGCATGAATAGCGCACAACTCCAGTCGCTGCTTCTCATGGAATACCTCTCCTTCGCTCATAATAACCCTGTTGGACAAAATACACAAAACATTCGCATATTGACTGCAGCTGTTCAATACATTGTTGAATAACGTATATGAACTTTCAACAAAACAACAGTGAAAAGGGCATGAATGAAACACTTTCCAGGGAGTAAAACAATAGCTATCTCCACTGTAATATTCTAGAAAAAACACGTGCATTCGAAGTCCAATATAATACTTCTTCATTTCATTCATATATTAGCTAGCTAGCTAAATCAGTCGTTACCGTATTGGAAGTTGTCCGCAGTGTAATGGCCAAATAAAGTGGTGTATCAATGTCAGTAATAGCTCTTTCAGTGCTCTTATTCCGTGACAAACAAAATAATAAAATGTACCTAGTGTACACGTAAATCTATTATACATAAACTTGCTGATTGTGCGATTTTACGCTCACAAGAACATGCTGGTGAATTCTCTACTAAGAATGAGAAACCGGAAGCTTGCTTGATTGTTGTTGTTCAGCTGTCACGCCCCGTAAATTGGAGCGAGCGTTGTTTTCGTCCCCGCTGAACTGCGCTGCAACGCGCATCAGGCTATCCAATCAGTGATTAGTGCACGCTGAAAGCGAGGAACTATGCGCGGTGACAGCAAAGATGGCGCGTCTGGAAAAGCCCATAGACTTAGATAGACATCGCATCATTGTATCTGTCCCATCATGGCGTCTGTGAGAGCAGGGGCAGCGCGATCTCCATTTTGAAGTAGTCCATTTTCTATGAGTTGGTAAACAAACTGAAAGTGTGCATACCACTGAGGTATAATAAGAACTGAAGACTGCATCTAAGATGTCCGCCCGTTGTTTTCAAGGTAATCTACTCACTTTCGCATACGCCTATTCATTTCATGGACCGTCTATATCCGTGTTGCATCCGGTTTATACGGACCAACATCACATGCGCAGTAGCACTCAGTGCACACAGGGAGCAGCGCAAGCAGCGACGATGTCATCACGTCATCCAAAAACAGAGCAGACATTGGATGAATATAACATTTAAATATCTTCTGCTGTGAGTGATTGAAAAAAATCAGCCTCAGCGACAGTTATTTTAATAATTAATTGGATGTTTTGTGCACAAAGGTGATGACTAAGTGTCTTATTAGGAATTTTCAAATCTGACTTCTCTATGTGGCAATGTATGGAAATTGTCTTTCTGGGCCTGGCGTCAGTTAAAACTGCAGTACCGAAGCAAAACTGTAGGAGCAGTCGAAACCATGCTTCAAGTCCGGAACCATGGCCTCTTGGTTCATACTGCCACCTGGAGTGCGTTGTTTGAACAGGTATAAAGCTTGGCGATTTACTGCCACCTGCAGTTATGGAATGTTTGCTCACAAGTACAGTATAATGAATTGGCTGATCCCTCCTGGTGACCTGGTTGGAATTATGTGATCCTTCCTTAACCCATAGGAAGTCCCACCCAGTAACTACTTCAAAATGGTGAAAGTGCTCAATGGCGCTGCCCATTCTAAAATATACTTTTAGGCACTAGAGTCCTCTATCTATTTCTATGGGAAAAAACACAAACATCTTGTCCAAATGAGCATTACAAGTTAGTGCCTTAGTATAAACTGTTTAACTGTGAATAAAAATGATTTAATTACTTTATTGTATTTCATTGTATTTGTACAACATCGTAATTAGCAGCCATAAAAATCACATTTGACAAAAATTATTAATCGAAAAACATTTTTTGATTACTCCCTGTATCAGGGAAAATCTCTGTACAGTTTTCCTACAAATAATTCGAAGAGAACATCCAGAACCAGAATCCGAAAATAAGAACACGCAGACAATGTAGTGATGAGGCGCACTCTAGTGGTCAATAGAAATGCTGCAGGAAAAAGTATCAGTGAGGGTTGGGGGCCAAAACTTTCCCTTCCAAAATGATGGATACAAGGAATAATTTAAATGTAATCTTATTTGGAATGTAACTTTTCAAATCTCAGGGTGTATCAAGGTATCTTGAGGATGGCATTAATAATCACTCATCAACATTAATTTACTTTTAAATAACAGGCAGTTTTCTGTCTCTGGCACATGGTAGGCACTTCCCCTCTCTGGCCTTTTTGGCCATAGGTCTCCGGATGGTTGGTCAGGGCCAGGGGCTTTCAAATTCAGTCTGAGCTCATGTCCCCACAGTCACACACGGATGTCAGTAGACTGGGGTTGGCAGGCTGTGTTGTTTGCTGTTTGTTTGTACGGGAGCAACAGTTACATTAGTTTTGCTGTGAGCTGTAAAAGTTTCCTCCCTGCAAGTAATACATGTGATAAGAGTCTTACAGGTACAGATATTTAACCCCTTATTATAATGCTGGATGCCAGTGCTTGATGGTTTGGTACCTAAACCATGAGCAAATAAATGTTTTACCTTATGCAAAAAGGGGTTACGTACCCAGATTTTATTGTGCTGCTCACCAAAGTCATGAAGAGTGAAATGGTGATTTGTGGAAGATCATTAAAAATAATGTGGACAGGTTTGAGAAATAGCTACATTTGTTGTAAATGCTTTGGAATGGATGGTGTTATGTGTGAACATTAGAATTAAGACCATATTGTTACACAAAGTTTATATTCTGGCAATTCCCAAGCATATCTAACATTTTGACTAATAGTTAATGCTTCTGATAGCACTGAAGGCTCTAAATTCTCTCTGATTTGTTGCATTCTAGCCTGGTTTCCATCTCTGTCTCTGTTCAGCTATTACATTCCAATCCTTGCCAAAGCAAATGACAGGAGTGGCAAGGAGTTGAATGTTAGCTAAAAAGACTGGTACCCAGACTAGTTGTATTCTATTAAAATCAAATCAAATTTGATTCGTCACATGCTTCGTAGACAACAGGTGTAGACTAACAGTGAAATGCTTGGTTAAAGATCAAATAAAAAAATAATAGAAATAGTGACACGAGGAATACATATGCAGTGAATAACGAGGGAGTACCAGTACCAAGTCGATGTGCAGGGGTACGAGGTAATTGAGGTAGCTACAGTGAGGGAAAAATGTATTTGATCCCCTGCTGATTTTGTACGTTTGCCCACTGACAAAGACATGATCAGTCTATAATTTTAATGGTAGGTTTATTTGAACAGTGAGAGACAGAATAACAACAAAAAAATCCAGAAAAACGCATGTCAAAAATGTTATAAATTGATTTGCATTTTAATGAGGGAAATAAGTATTTGACCCCTCTGCAAAACATGACTTAGTACTTGGTGGCAAACCCCTTGTTGGCAATCACAGAGGTCAGACGTTTCTTGTAGTTGGCCACCAGGTTTGCACACATCTCAGGAGGGATTTTGTCCCACTCCTCTTTGCAGATCTTCTCCAAGTCATTAAGGTTTCGAGGCTGACGTTTGGCAACTCGAACCTTCAGCTCCCTCCACAGATTTTCTATGGGATTAAGGTCTGGAGACTGGCTAGGCCACTCCAGGACCTTAATGTGCTTCTTCTTGAGCCACTCCTTTGTTGCCTTGGCCGTGTGTTTTGGGTCATTGTCATGCTGGAATACCCATCCACGATCCATTTTCAATGCCCTGGCTGAGGGAAGGAGGTTCTCAACCAAGATTTGACGGTACATGGCTCCGTCCATCGTCCCTTTGATGCAGTGAAGTTGTCCTGTCCCCTTAGCAGAAAAAGACCCCCAAAGCATAATGTTTCCACCTCCATGTTTGACGGTGGGGATGGTGTTCTTGGGGTCATAGGCAGCATTCCTCCTCCTCCAAACACGGCGAGTTGAGTTGATGCCAAAGAGCTCGATTTTGGTCTCATCTGACCACAACACTTTCACCCAGTTCTCCTCTGAATCATTCAGATGTTCATTGGCAAACTTCAGACGGCCCTGTATATGTGCTTTGTTGAGCAGGGGGACCTTGCGGGCGCTGCAGGATTTCAGTCCTTCACGGCGTAGTGTGTTACCAATTGTTTTCTTGGTGACTATGGTCCCAGCTGCCTTGAGATCATTGACAAGATCCTCCCGTGTAGTTCTGGGCTGATTCCTCACTGTTCTCATGATCATTGCAACTCCACGAGGTGAGATGTTGCATGGAGCCCCAGGCCGATGGAGATTGACAGTTATTTTGTGTTTCTTCCATTTGCGAATAATCGCACAAACTGTTGTCACCTTCTCACCAAGCGGCTTGGCGATGGTCTTGTAGCCCATTCCAGCCTTGTGTCGGTCTACAATCTTGTCCCTGACATCCTTGGAGAGCTCTTTATTGTTGGCCATGGTGGAGAGTTTGGAATCTGATTGATTGATTGCTTCTGTGGACAGGTGTCTTTTATACAGGTAACAAGCTGAGATTAGGAGCACTCCATTTAAGAGTGTGCTCCTAATCTCAGCTCGTTACCTGTATAAAAGACACCTGGGAGCCAGAAATCTTTTTGATTGAGAGGGGGTCAAATACTTATTTCCCTCATTAAAATGCTAATCAATTTATAACATTTTTTACATGCGTTTTTCTGGATTTTTTTGTTGTTATTCTGTCTCTCACTGTTCAAATAAACCTACCATTAAAATTATAGACTGATCATTTCTTTGTCAGTAGACAAACATACAAAATCAGCAGGGGATCAAATACTTTTTTCCCTCACTGTATGTATTGTACATATAGGTGGGCGTAAAGTGAATAGGCAACAGGATAGATAATAGACAGTAGCAGCAGCATATGTGGTGAGTATGAAAGTGCGTGTGTGGCGTCAGTATGCATGCGCGTGTGTGTTGGGGTGTCAGTGTAAGTATATGTGAGTGTGCATAGAGTCAGTGCAAGAGAGTTAGTGCAAAAAAGGGTAAATGCAGGTAGTCCGGGTTGCCATTTGATTAGCTATTTAGCAGTCTTGTTTAGAAGTCTTATGGTTCGGGGGTAGAAGCTGTTCAGGGTCTTGTTGGTTCCAGACTTGGTGCATTGATTTGATTTGATTGGTACCGCTTGCGGCAGCAGAGAGAACACTCTTTGACAATTTTTTGGGCCCTCATCTGACACCGACACCGCCGTCTATAGAGATATATTGTATGGTAGGATTAGGTTCACTGGGGTTAGGTTAAATTGAAGTTTAAAAAAAGTTTATATCGTGTGCGGCTGTCTGTCAAGATGAAGGCCACCCTCTGGGTGGGTATGAGTTTTTCAAACGCACCTATGGCTTGGAATCATTTTTGACATTCTCGGCTTTGGATGGCTGGTGGAAATGCCAAGTATGATGACGACAGAGCACCTACGATATGTGATTGGTCATGTCGGTTACGTTGTTTGTACACGTGTTGTATGGCTAAAATGCCGATTGGTCAAGACAACACAATTTCATTTGGGAGATCGTAGTTTTGTTCCGTGTCAACGAAAATAGTAGCTAGCTAGCTACTCTAGCACTTGGCCACCGCATAACTTTAGCTAAAAACACTTTATTCCAGTAGCTCGCGTCCCTTCACTGCATACGTTATTTACCCCCAACAAGCAGGCTGTTTTTAGCAAAATAACGAACTGGAGTTTACTTGCTATAAGTGTATCGGAACTTTTGAGGAGAAGCATTTCAGCTAGCAAGCTGCAGCTGGATAACGCGTTAGCATAACTTGATCGCTTGCTTGGCCAGTCGAGATCTAAATAGTCGTTAATAACTGCATTATTCACTAATTTGAGGTGTCGTGGACCACTTTCTCGTCAATCAAACATAAGCTGCAAACATTTATTAGTTGCTAGCTACCGTTACTATTTCGACGAGGATCACTGAGAGCTAGCTAGCCCCAGTCACCTGAATACTATTATTTTTCTGAAGACATGGTAAGTCATATTTGTTTACAAACACTTTCATAAATGGATACAATCATTGGTTATTTAGCTAACTAACCTAGCAAGTCAATTGTTTGCCAGCTGTTTAGCTAACGTTAACTAACTAGTTAGCTAGCTAACTACAGTAACGTTACTTAGCCGAGACCTACCTTAGCTAGCTGGTGAAGTTGGGTAACTAACGTTAGTTGGTTGTTTGCTTGCTAACGTTAACTAGCTAGAGTTAGCTGATATAACGTTAGCTACGATTGTCTTTTGCTGGGTAGTTCAGACAGTTGACACTTCTCCCGAACACATTTGAAATGGCAAACTGACCAACATAACTAACTGATTAACTTCTTCACGATTGTCAGCAAAGTAACTAACTATCATAACGTTAGCATACCCCACAGTTGGCGTATGTAGCTAGCTATACAAGTTAGCTAGCTAACGTTAGTTAGCCAACCGATGATGATTTGGTTTGCTAGCTACCTAACGTTACGTTAGCTAGTTATATATCATACTTCCGTTCTTATATTTTTTAGCTAAATTGAGTTGTAATAAGAACTACATTAATCTGTCACACGATTGGGCGATTTAATGGTACAGTAGATATTTGACTTGACAATGATGTGAGTTAGTCAGTAATTTTAGCCAGCAATGCTACCGTTAGCTAGCTTTCGGTTATGTTAATTAGCTAGGTAGCTACAACCTAGCCATTCTTTATTTGACAAAGAAAATGGCTAACTTGATGTCTGTTTTGTATGGCTAGAAAATGCTAATAAAATATCCTAACTTTGACAGGTTTGTACATTTCTCAATGAATAAACGGCCAGACATTGGTTGAAATCGCAGTTGTCAGTTGTGTGACAGATAGCTTATCCACTGCACTCATGATGATATTATCGTGAATCACTACCTGGCCTGTAGCCGACTCAACTCCACGATTTACGATAGAGTTGAGCAGCGGCTGGTGTGGGCAGACTGGAGCTCCTTGGTCACATACAATTACGTTTTTTAAAATAAAAAACTACTAATTTCAGCATCCAAAGAATAGCCCGCAATTACGTAGAAAAATGTCGTGTGTAATTGTGGGCTATTCTTTGGGTGCTGAAATCAGTCGTTTTTTATTAAAATTGATTTTATGTGACTAAGGAGCTGCACTCTGCCCACACTAGTCACTGCTCGGCTACCCGGTTTATCAGACAGTAGCTAGCTACATTGATTCTGAGCCATCCTTTTTGGTGACAGCTTTACTGAAATATTCCCTCTACCGAGATGTTCTTGTTATTAATGTGTTTGGGATGTGTAGGTGCCATTTCCATAGTATTTACCATATTTGCACCTTTCTGTTGGTAGTAGGACAGAATAGTAATGTCTGTTTCTCTCTCTCCCCCCCCACCCCACACTTCTAGAACTCCAATGTAGAGAACTTGCCGCCCCAGGTTCTGCGTCTGGTGTACAAAGAGGTGTCTGCACTAGCTGCAGATCCCCCTGAGGGCATCAAGATCTACCCCAGCGAAGAAGACATCACAGAACTCCATACAGCCATCGAGGGACCAGGTAACTCATACCTCTGTGTCATGGGAAATGTTTTGTCTGCCTAGGGAAGTTGTAGTGTAGAACATGCTTAACCAAAGGCACTTGCCCATCGGGCAAGTACAGGTAATGTTTTACTTGCCCAAAGGTCATGGTCACTTGCCCAAAAAACAAAAATGGTCTGTTACACGCACAAATTGTTAAAATTTCAAGTACCTTTCATTTTAACATTGTTTGAAACAACTGAGTGTGCTCACTCGCTTGAAAAACAAGTAAAAAGCGGAAATAGTACTGTTTGTCCATTTTGAGACGCTGTAGCCAGTCCTCAAAATAGTCAGAATTAATCTAAGATAACTCTGTCATTAATTTTGATGTTTTTGCCAAGGAGATCTTAGTCACACAATTTTACATCTAACTTAAGATGTTTGGTGCAGTATTTCTCAATGAAAATGTTAAAATGAAAACGAGTCGTCTCTCGTTGAATGACAACAGAATTTACTGAAGAATCCCTACTGTTGGCCAATCACTAACAAAAAAAGTCACAAAATATTGTCTTAATATATGTACAAACTTTTCCGAGCTGTTTCGGCTGGGAAGCATGCAGACGCCTTTACTCTGACAGACTTCTGATGAAAAGGGTTAAAGTTATAAGTATGAAGTAATGATCACAGATGTAAAATACTCCATAGAGGCATGAAATTTAAGAGGGTCTCCGGTACTTTTGTGTACTTTTTAGCCAGTAGTTCTGAAAGTAGCGCTCAGCAGCCAAAAGTGGTACTTCGAAATTGCATACTGTCACGTGCAGATATGTGCACCATGTCATATCTCTCTCTCGCTCTGCTGTGTGTATCTTGTTGCTAGCTGTCACTCAAATGGCGAGGAGCTGAAGCTCATTGGCTGAAACTAATTGCTAGGGGCTGGCCCACGTGGGGTAAAATGTAGGGTAAATGGTGCAGCACAGCTTCCAGAAAAGTCTCTTTCAAACTAGAGATTTCGTGGCTAATTCAGGTTAGACATTGGCTAACTAGCACACAACTAGAGACAGTTGGCACAATGGACAACTAAATCGAATGTTTAGGCCTATCTTCACTGGCTAAACTGGAAAACACTTAGGCCTACTTGAGTTGCAAGGTAATTTGTTAAATGAAGGACTGCAAGCGCCATTTGAGCCCTGACTTTTGCTACTGAAACAGGTGCATCTTTCTCATCAATATCACTGCATGTTTAGCCTACTCCTGTTTTAACAGGGTGTAATTTGCTTATTATTGGGAGTTGAGACATTCAGTTGACACTATTAGAAAGCTAAAATTCTTCCCTTTTTAACTATTTGATAACTGCATTTGGTGGCTGTTTTTCTTTTGCCCTGTTCTTGATTTGTGAGTGTAAACTTGGCGGTCAGGCTTTTGGTAAACATGGCGGTCAGGCTTTTGTTAAACATGGCGGTCAGGCTTTTGTTAAACATGGCGGTCAGGCTTTTTTTAAACATGGCGGTCAGGCTTTTGTTAAACATGAAACAAAGTAGACTAATGAATATGCTGTTTGCCTTCATCAAAACAATGTTTTTGTTGCATATTTCCATCTGTAACCTATTCTAAATGACACACTAGCAATTCGCAAAATAGACTAGATGCATTTATTTTTCCAAAACTGCAGCTTGTAGTTGGAACACATATTTCCCTACTTTAATCAACCAGTCCATTTTGAATATGTGATAAATCTGTCGTGCTTTGGCGAGGAATGTAGCTTGTCTACGGTTTTGTTTGTGTATGCTATCAGTTTGATCCATTTTTATAGGCAGTAAGTTCTATAGTTCTAATGGGAGCTTGGGTGCCCAATGCGTTTGTGTGGCGGGAGCGGTCGGATCTAAATTGAGTGAGACACATAACGGAGGTAAAAGAGAATGTAGGGAGAACTGTGTGATCACTTGGCTTGATTTATTTTTTGTTGCGAGTCGCTTATGCACATGAACAAATGGAACACTAGAGTTGACTTGAAGGAACGCTACTCTTCAGGACAAAATTTCACATGTCCGTTCGGCCAGCCACAAAGCAGATTCCACCTTCCCCACTGTTCAGTTTACCTGCCCTGGGCAACTGTTAATGTCAACCCCTGCTTGACGTGGTTTATTTATTGTGCTTCAATAGAAGGAACCCCGTTTGCCGGGGGTGTTTTCCGAATGCGCCTGGTCTTGGGGAAGGACTTCCCTGCTGCACCTCCGAAGGGCTACTTCCTAACCAAGATCTTCCACCCAAATGTGGGCCACAAGGGAGAGATCTGTGTCAACGTCCTGAAGAGGGACTGGAGGGCAGAGCTGGGACTCAGACATGTATTACTGGTAAGAGACATTTAAACATCTCTATTGGTGGTTCTTAATAATCCAAAATAGCAATGGGTGAAAGAAAATATTGTATCTAGTGCATTTTATATTAACATTTTGTATAGTCATCTCTGCTTGGTTCAAGGAAAACCTTGAAATATACCCTGATGACTCACTGGTGTTCTCTCTCTCCCTTCAGACTATCAAGTGCCTTATGATCCATCCCAACCCTGAGTCGGCTCTCAACGAGGAGGCGGGGCGTCTGCTCCTAGAGGACTATACAGAGTATGCGTCCCGTGCTCGCCTCCTCACTGAGATCCATGCCATGGGGGGGCACGGAGGGACGTCGGGGGTGCCTCAGGACCCCGCCGATGGCCCCCAGCCCAAAAAACACGCAGGGGACCCTACCAAGAGGGCGATTGGGGCCAGGGGTTGCCCCTTCTGCAGCTCTGGGTAACGGAGCCAATGGAAGCAGTAGTAGCAGCAATAGTAATGTTGTAGGGAAGAAGAAAACGGATAAAAAGCGAGCGTTGAGGCGACTCTAATGCTGCTAGGAGACTTCTCAGTGTGTGTGTGTGTGTGTGTGTGTGTGTGTATATATATAAATATTGAAGTGAGCAGACTGCTTTTTTGTTCCACTCTCCCTGACTCTTTCTATCCCCCTGACTCAGTACTGTCCCTTTTGTACTCATTGCATCTTGTATCCCTGTTCATTCCTTATTGCCATATATTCTCCTCCCAATCTCCTGTGGATAAATCCATTTGCATTCAATCACTTTTTGACTGCACCCCATTTTGATTTTAATGAAACCTTCCATTCATATTTGCCCATTGTAGAAGTGCTCAGAAAGTGACTTTTTTGACCTGAATGCCAAAACATGCAAGAGATACGTGCTCATATTTGACCCCTTTTGCATACCCGCACCATACAATGACATCCATGTCTTCATCACTGGAAAAGATAATCGGTTGAGATTTGATAAAATTTTAAAGCTTACAAACAGGGTTGTCGGACTACTTAATAATTTATTGGGGGGAAAAAATGTTTTGTAATAAGTATTTTTATTTTAAAAAAATATTCAAAAAATGTGACATGGATGTCTCATGGTAAGGTGGGGTATGCAAAATGTTTTGGCATTCAGGTCCAAAAAGTCACCTTCTGACTACTTTTTCCATGGGCCAACATGTATGGAAAGTTTTGTTTAAAACAAAAGGGATGTTGTCAAAAAGTGATTGATTCAAATGGATTTACTGCTGTGTGTTAGTAAGGAACCATGGAGAGAACTATCATGATCTAAGAAAGGTTTTATTGTGTTTCACACACAGCACTAGTGATTGTGTGTGTATGTCATGCAGTAGCAAACAGTAGCAACCCTGCTCAAGATTGTTTTGGCTTCAGTCTGACTCATCTCCCCTATCTGAAATTATGCTTCTTTCTGTTCAGTGTTCACTAAACAAAATGTCTTAGATATTTTGCAGGAACAGAAAATGCCTCTTTCTATCCCCCAATTGCCCCCCCCCCCCCCCCCTTCTTGGCATGCCTCCTGATGCTGAAATGGTACTGTGTACTGCCCAGCTAGCCTCGTGTTGGGAAACTGCTAAGATGTTTTGTCATGTCTGAGTTTAGTTACCTTATACGAAATCAGGTTGTCGTGCTTGAATAGCAGGAAGGGAGTAAGGGTGGAGGACTTATTAGAAGATTATTCTACTTTTTTGGTTCATAGTGTAACAAAACATGATGGTCATTCATTGGGTGGTCAAATGAGGAAGCAACAATGAGCAGTTTTCCTAGAAAATGTTTGTCTAGTAGTGATTGAAATGAGAGGGACACGAAGGGAGCAACATTTGGTCTGATTATTACTTTTAAAAATGTATTTCACCCCTTTTTTTTGTACACGTTTCTCCCCCTGTATGACTTCTGTTTCTACGTTTTTACAAAACTGTCATTGTTTTGTTTGTTCTTTCATTGTCCAGTATTTGCAAGAGTGGTTTTAAAGTGACATGCCTATATTCAGACGTCTTGGTGCGTGTATGGAGAAGTAGATTATTGGCCATACAGGAGTAGGTTAGGGTGCAGGATTGTGCATATCATGGATTATTCATTATATCCCATATATAATTATGGATCTTTTTTTTTAATGGTCATAGCTGCACATCTGGTCTTTAGTACTAATTTGCCAAATCTTTTGATTTGTATGGATCAAATACCTGCTCCGGTCATATGCACTATCCAGCGCCTATCATGTTCCCATATGGGCCATATTTGGAAAAACAATGTATTTCTCAACAGGGAAACCTCAACAGATTTGGATAAAAAGGAACTCCCCACTCGATGCGCTCATCTGGCTGCGTTTCCTGGGCATGGTTTTCTCCCTCAGTTCTAAATGCATGTTGGCGCCTACATTTCCCAGGGAAACACTCAACTGTTGTCTTTTACTTAGGTGGGAAAAGGTGCCTGGGAAACAGTCATTGTGCGAAACTTAACGGGTGGGTATTTTTGTGTCCATTTTAAGTTATTTAAATTAATAAATGAGAATTATTTGGGGAAAAAAGTGAAAAATGAATCATTTAGTTCGTTCTTCAGTGTGTTGGTAAGATATGGAATATATTATGGTGGGAATAGCATTGCTGTGTGTTACAGTAGTATAATGACAGGGAAGTGAGAAATTAGATTTTTAGAGTGCCCCAAATGTAGGCTGTCTATCTGGGGCATATTAATAGTATAAACAGGATTTATTTCCCCTTCATCTGCAAAGGTCTGAGAACACAGGATGGGTGAAAAAGCAACAAGGGAGACGAGTCGAGGGAGGGAGACACTTTACACTGTTGAGCTCCACCGATGTTGTCATGAATTCCATGCACACCTGTGTAGTCTAGTGGAAAGTGCCCCCAGCCAGCAGGCTGTCATTTGACATACATAATGAAGGGCTCCTTCCTCTGGCCTGACTGCAGTAAGCAGCATGCAAAGCAACCAGCCACCCACCTGGGTGGAAATAGCTGCCTGACATCCTGGTAATTACCATCAGGCCCTCAGACACCTGGGGTTTGGGCTTGATGTGACACTATGAAACCCCCCGTTTAGAAATGTTTTTCACCTTCTAGGACCCCGCTCGGTGTAGAGGTTGATTCAACCGTCTATCGGAGTACCTTAGCACCTTGACGATTATGGGGATAGAAAATACGGAGTGGCTGCGGATCCAACTTTTCTGGCACCGTCTTCCCAACAGCTAAAGGTCCCGAAGCTTCTGCGCATTTTGCGGAATTATCTACACAAAGTCTCGGCTCTACTCATAAAGGACAGGCTACTCTGGCGAATGGTGCTCGTTTAGATAAAGTTAGATCAAAGCTGAAACAATGTCTGCAAATACATAATTATAGTATCCTACATAATCAAATATAATAGCATAATATAATGTTACTGTAAGACAAACACCACCTAATTTATTATGAGATTATGGTTGCATTTTTCTCCAACTCAACAGCGCGCCACTAGGTAAAATATGTGCTTTGATTTTTAACTAAGCACAGCTAGGCTATGCTACAGTTTTAACACAAATTCGCTCACTGTACATAAAACACTGTAGGCTACTTCGAAACAACACTAACTCAAGAAGATCTAAAAATGCATATCCCCATGAAACTGGTAAAATGGTAGGTATGCAGGTACTGCATGAACGTTTCACTGGTAATACTTGAATTATAAATCCCGATTGACAGTAGAAATGTGAAGGGAGGTTCTCTACGAGTAGATCAGAGACTGTAAACTACAGAACCTTGCACAGGTGCAGAAGCTTTGGGGCCTTTAACTGTCGGGAAGAGGGGTTCAGAAAAGTCTTATCCACAGCCTCTGCCTAGAAAATGGGTGTGTTCGGGTGGTAAGCCTAACGAAGCCGACTGTAGACGAAAGTCGTCGGGTGAAGTCTGGGGAGGTGCGACTGCCGAAAGTCGGACACTAGTGGTTTTCCAACAGCAAGGCTCAGATCAACATGGCAGTGTCAACATAGCTGCTGTTGTTTACAAAAGTTTTTCTGAATAAATGTCGAAATAAACTTTTCTATATCACACACTCACAAACTGAAAACATAACGTGTGTAAATGTAATTGCTTTGAAAGTCTCAAATATCACTTTCATTTGTAACCCCTGTAGCTTTAGAATCGTGGCAAGTTGGTCATGTCTTTGGCCACGTTCGCGTGGGTCATACAAAAACACCCTAATAGTGACTCCCACAATGCAGGTGATGGCTGCATGGTGCAGTTGGTGAGAAGCAACTGCAGCGACTTGAAGGCGACTCCATCAAAAACTGCATGACCTTGCATCACATGATTTTTGTATGGTTCATGCAGTCAACATGTAGGCGCAAGGCAGACCATTTTTATAACCATAATACAACACACTTTAAAAGGCAGTGTCCAACGATGGTCACGATTTGACAAAAGTGATCCACTTGAACGTGCCCAACTTTTCAAAAATCATGTGATCAAAGGTCATGAAGTTTTGACTGCAGTCGACAGTACGGTAAGTTTCTGCAGATGCTCTTAACCAATTTCATCCTGCAGCCATCACCTGCATTGTGGGAGGCTCTATTGTAGGGTGTTTTTATATGACCCACAGGAACGTAACCAAAGACATGCCTGAAACAGGAACCAATTTTGCCGAAATTAATGTGGATATGTACAAATTATTTGATATCTTACCAATTGATTGTATAATCTACACACATATATTTTCAGTTTGTGCGTGTGTGATATGGGGGTTGGAGATGTGTTTATTTCGACATTATATATAACAACTTTTCTAAACAATGGGAACACTGCCATGTTACACTGAGCCTTGCTGTAGGTAGGAAAACCACATCAGTGTACACTTTTGGCTGTCGCAGATGCACCTCCCCAACTTCACTCCTCAACCTTCGTCTACAGTCTGTTGCTTTCGCCTTACAACTCAAACGAGCCAAATATCTGACCCTGCTGTATCAGTGGTTGGGGACAATATCTGTCTTCTCTCCCCCTTGCTGTCGTCTGCCACCCCCTTTTACCCACAACCTAATGCTGTTCTCTCTTTCGGCGATTTTCACAGCATGGGCTTATTCATTTGGGGAAACGTTTCAGGCCATTCATAGAGGTATAGAATAGACATATGTCATACAAGGCTATTATTGTTTTCTCTTATTATCTGCGAGGTTTAACAATCAGCCCCATGCTTTACTGTTTGCTGAGAGGCTACAAGAGAAAGTACTGTAATCTGGGAGTATGGTGTGCTTTGTCAAAAATAAATTAACATAGTCATTATTATATGAAATCTAATGAAACACTCACAACAAAAGACCTTCGTTATGTGTTATGCTCACTACATCGAATTAGGGATGTCAAACTTCTCTCACTTCTCTGAAGACATCAGCGTCTTATCACATTTAGAAATTCTAGGCCTATTGGTCATGGATTCACTCACGCGCATCAGTGTTCTTCTGGTTTTGGATTGCGCCAGTCCTCTCCCCCACCCCGTTTTCATCCCTTTCATAATTGCCACCAACATAATCACACAGTTGCTGTGGCAACCGTTGGTGCACCTCTCTCTCTCTTTCTC